TCCACGGCCTCCCGGGTGGCGAGCGACGAGATGAGGGAGTCCTTGTCCATCATCGCTAACCGACCAAGACGGTGGTGGAGAGCGGTGCCGCCACCGAACGGCGGTTGTTGTTGTTGCTCCATGAACCGCACTCCATCGCCGCGCGTGCGGCCGTGTACCCTCGTGTCCTTTCGTCCCAACTCCTTCGCGGCTCGTTTCGAAAGCGGCGGGTGCGGGGGACCGGGGGTGGCGGCGCTGGTGGGCTGCGGCGGCGGCGGCGGCGGCAGGCCCGGGGGCGAACGGGGCGGCGTTGCTGCGGTCGACGGTGGGGCTGATTNTCGCTGGTGCAGGCGGGCGGGATGTAGGTGTACGTCCTTGATGGCGGGGGCGGCGGCGGTGCGGCATCGGCCGCAGATACGGCGGTGGCCGGCGAGGGCGCCGCGGTGACCGAAGAACCCCCCCCGATGCACGGCACCGGCGCCGGCGCCCCTGCCCGGCGGTTGATCCACACGACGTTGTTAGTGAGGGCGAGGCGACCGGTGTCAGCGTGAAGAACGACGGCGGTAGACGTCAAGTGGTTGTGGGCGCCGTGCAGGTAGAAGCACCGCGCGCGGATTGGACGTCCGCCTTCGTGGCCCGCTTCACGCGCAGCGGTGAACTCGCCGCCGTTGTCCATGCGGAAACACCCCGGAGTGACCATGCCGTTCATGTCGGCGAGGAACCGCTGCACGAACTTCAGGGTGTCGCTCTTGGCACGCATCCCGTACCCCCGTTGCCTCCGCGATGCGCTGTCCACGAACATGATCAGGTACCGGGAGCCGTCCAGCGCGTCAGAGAACGGGCCCGTGAGGCCGCTATGAACTTTGCCGAACGGTACCGCCGCGCAGGTGCCACGCCGCGGCACCGGTGCCCACCTGCCCTTCGCCTCCAGGCAGCCCACACACGGCTTCATCTCCCCCATCAGTCGTACGCCCTGCTGCTTGGCCGTTTCACGCATCAAGAATTCGTTTACATGGCCGGTGGAGGCATGGAACAAATTAATATCGATGGTGGTCGTGGATTTTCCTGNCATGCGGAAACACCCCGGAGTGACCATGCCGTTCATGTCGGCGAGGAACCGCTGCACGAACTTCAGGGTGTCGCTCTTGGCACGCATCCCGTACCCCCGTTGCCTCCGCGATGCGCTGTCCACGAACATGATCAGGTACCGGGAGCCGTCCAGCGCGTCAGAGAACGGGCCCGTGAGGCCGCTATGAACTTTGCCGAACGGTACCGCCGCGCAGGTGCCACGCCGCGGCACCGGTGCCCACCTGCCCTTCGCCTCCAGGCAGCCCACACACGGCTTCATCTCCCCCATCAGTCGTACGCCCTGCTGCTTGGCCGTTTCACGCATCAAGAATTCGTTTACATGGCCGGTGGAGGCATGGAACAAATTAATATCGATGGTGGGCGTGGATTTTCCTACCGAAAATGGGGAAGCACCGGGGGCGATAATCGCCAAGGCATGCGAGAGGGAGGGGGGAGCTACGGTTTGCTGCTCACTGCATCCAGCAACGCAACCCTTCAGGCAATCCAATTCATCACTCATCACGGCAAACGCGGGGAGGGGGTGTTGCAGAGTCGCAAACATCAAGCGCATCCGGAAAAAAATCACCCTGTGGGACCGAGTCTATTCCATCCATCAGGCCTACATCAAGGAACATGCTCATATCCATGAGCGGCAAATGGTCCTGGGGGATGAGGGGGTTGATCACAACTTCACGAAAATTGCTCGGGTCAACGACGGAGGGAGAAGCAATCTCAGACGACGCTACGGCACCTGTGATTACAANTCTATTCCATCCATCAGGCCTACATCAAGGAACATGCTCATATCCATGAGCGGCAAATGGTCCTGGGGGATGAGGGGGTTGATCACAACTTCACGAAAATCGCTCGGGTCAACGACGGAGGGAGAAGCAATCTCAGACGACGCTACGGCA